AAAAAAAAAAAAAAAAAAAAAAAAAAAAAAAAGCATGATGGAATGACATGCTGTTATAGAATACGATGTGGTGTGTGTATGTAAGGTCTTGAATGCACGCACACATCTTGTGTATGTGGCTCTGTCTGCTGAGAGAGCTCTGAAGCAGACACCTCAGTGACAGTGAGCACACCCTGTACCCAAATGTTGGTCTCTAATGCCATCCTGGGGAATGGGATCCAGGGCTCCTTGGAGAAATGGCTGATTCTAAACTTGGCTCAGGATCAGTACATTATAAGCCTAGAACATGTTGTTATGCACTCAAAAAGGAAGAAATTACTAAAAAGAAAATGATGGTGGCATGTGATAAGGCTACAGGAACCATTGGCAGGGGCTCCTACTGGCCAGATCTAGAACCAATTGGGCATCAAAATAATTAAGCTGAGCAATGATTACAACCACTAAAAATAGGACTTCATAAATAGACACATAAATGGGGGAGGAGGGAGGCCTTTTTTATAGCAGAACATAGAGAGCCAGCAGGAAACGTGGGGGGAGGACTTGGGTGACAAGAATCAACGTTTTGCAGCCATTGTGGCAAAGATTGACTCAAGCAAGAGTCATCAATGGCTGATAAATCTGGTGGAAAGCTTTGACAAGGAGTAGGATGTTCACACGCTCTTCAGGTGTCTCCTCATAGACTGTGTATTCAATGCAAGGAGAGGGGAAAGTTATACAGTGGAGAAATCAGGACCCACCCCGGCAGGGTGACAACATCAACCACTGCACCACCATGGAGGTCCAGGTGAGCACCAGGGGCCACCAGTTGTGATGCCCTAGAAGTGCACACCCCTAATACCACTGACACCAGCTAGGAAGGAACAACCCATACACACACACAGGTGGAAATGCAGACAAACTCCAAGTGAGAAATGTTTCACTCAAAACACTGTATTCTTCAAAAATGTCAATGCCATATAAGACAATGAAAGAGTATGGACACTTATTTCAGGCTGAAGGAGACCGAAGAGACAAAGCAACTGAATACAATACCTGACCCCGGATCACACGGGGTGATGGAGGGGAAAGGCGTGCTAGAAAGGGCAGTGTTGCGTTAGCTGACAAATTGGCACATGGACGGCTGATGAAAGTACTATGTCAATGTTAATGTTAATTTCAATGCTACCAAAGTCAAGAGCTAGGCGGCAGTTACATAAGAGCATAACTCGATTTTTGGGAAACCCACACCAAAGTATTTAGGGGTCAAGGGCTGCAACATTTGCAATTTACCCTCGAAATGTGTATGTTTGTGAGAGAGACAGACACAGAGGAGAGAAGCAGTGATAGAGATGGAGAGAAAGAACAAGAGCAAATAACAAAGTAAATAATAAAAAATTAACAGTGGTCCCATTCTCATCACTGCACATTTTCCGTAAATTGTAAATTGTTT